AGACATAAAAAAAAAAGAAAACACAAATGAATCACAAGTACAAAGACTTCCCTAAAGGCAGATAAAACTGCGGTGGATCATGAATCACTGCATGAGTATAAAACCATTTTTAGAGCTATGAGTGCTCCCCGGAGTCCCGTGGCCTCATTAATTGTTAAATGGAAGCATTTTCTAATTACAAGGTGTTGATTTGACCAAAGAGAGCAACTGAAGAAAAAGGAAATGTATGGCAGTGGGTTTTTAGTATGTTATGCAGCGTTTTAAAAGACATAAGAGATTCGCTTAATATGAAGTAAACATTTTTTTTCTGCTTTTTAGCAGCTACGTTAGCTATGGATGCTAACTAAAGAGAAGGAAAGTAAACAAATATCAAATCTTCCTCAAATCGCGTGAAAGGCGCAACACACCAGTGGCTTTTTAAGGAGCCTCTGAATCCGTAGACGACACCTTCTAGACAAGAGATTGGCTCGTTCTCTGATAAATGGATAAATGCGGCAGTTCAAGGTCTACGAAGCTTGCGGAAGCTGAAATCAACTGTGTGTCGTTTCCTGCAGGTCGGACTTCAATTGCTGAAGTTTAGGACTTGAGAAAACAAATGCATCTTTCCGTGTGTCAAAACAAAAACTTCTGAATATTGAGGGAAAATCCTTACATGTACAGAACAGATGCAGTTTGACTAGGAGGATATGTGGCCTGTTGTGTTATTGCCTCTCCACTCACGCGCAGCCTCCACTGGGGTGGAGACATGGAAAACAACATGAGCACAAACACATAAAAATGCATGTAAATCGATCTTCTTCTTCAGTTGTTCTTAGTTATGAATGAGCGCAGCACATGGAACAAATCCATGGCCAAATTTAGGGTCAGAGGATTTGCTTTTGTTGTTGTGAGTTTTATCTGTTACATCAAAGTAAGTATTTGATTTTTTTTTTTTTTTTTTTTTTTTAAAGTTTCCCTCACACAAAGGAAGAAGACGCTTGGATGATTTATTGGGCAGACAGGATAAAAAAAAAAAAAACATCCAGAAAATCACATGATATGATTTTTAAATTAGTAATTTAAATTTTATTTCTTTTATTTCTAAAGTATTGAATCACATACCAAACATGAATTCCAGCTTTTCTTTTCTAAAGCCCTCCTATCATCCACTCATTACCTTTATGAATAGCAGCTATTTGAACTCATTACCTGTATAAAAGACACCTTTCCACACATTCAGTCAATCAGACCAAATTTTCTGCTACGGTGTCACAATTATGAACAAAGCTTTCAACCAAATATTAAATTCGATTTTTTTTTTATTGTATCAAATACCTATTTCATGTAATAAAATGCAAATCAGCTGCTAAAATATCTCATAATGTGGTTTAATTTTATTTTTATTTTCATTTTTTTAGATTTTGCCCCTACAGTGAAAATTATAAAATCTCTCCATTCTTTTTAAGTGAGAAAACATGAAAAATTGGCAGCACGTCAAATAGTTATTATCACTTTAATAAGTTAAATTACCCTAAAACAAATTAGCTAAAGATACAGAAGTGTGAATTGTTCCTCTCTAATAAATGTTTCTTTTATTATAAGCAGATTTCGGCCGGTTTTTCCATCCAGTTGATCCCGGCTTTGAACGGCACCTCCAGGCTTCGATTCAAAATATATTGCAACCCTGTAAAAGTTTGAACATGTCCCAAAAAAAAATTACCTTCAGCTCTATTATTGTACGCTCACATTTAATTTTAGAGGTGATAAAGAAATGTTTTCTAGCTGAAGTCTCTCTAATTTTCTGGAGCTGGCTGTGGACCACAGAAAGAAGTCATTGTCTTAAGAGTTCAACATCATAGTATTTTTGCTGTTTTAATTTGGGGGAGTGGAAAAAGTTTGAGGGGTGTAAATACTTTTCCAGTACACCCTACAGCCTTGCCTACTACAAGCACCATTTTTCAAAGCTCTTAAATCCCAGAATTCTGCTGTGAGAGATCTAATGTCATCCTCGGTTCCTGTTGTGTGGCTCTGACATCAACGCTTACCATCCATCAAGCTAAACAGCACATCACACCTTCCAGGCTCGCAGCAGAAAAATATGCAGATATGGCGGAAATCCTTTCTCAGCTGTGAAGGGCGGGAGAGTAATAAAAAAAGAAAATCATGAAGAGGAATGCAGGGAGGATGGGAGGAATAAAGGGAGGAAAAAAACGAGGGAGAAGAAGAGGAGGAGGAGGGGAGGAAGAGAAAAAAAAGCCTCAACCTTTTCTAATCAATATCCATTCCCTCGAGCTGTCATGTCGCTGCACAAATGGCTGTTGCATTACCAAACAGAGAGCGTCTGATCCTAAATAAAATATCACCTTCAGTCCAATCCATCTCATTCATCTTCATTTAACAAACGCTCAGCTTTTGGCAATACCTTTTTATATTCCCGCTCCTCCATAGACAGAATGAATATGTCAGAATGACAAGTCCTGACACCCGAATACGGGAACGCTTCTCCTCAGAAAAGACACTAGTCTGTAAGCGTCATTGTTCCACTGAGCACTGCAGACGAGCGATTCCACGGGGACGGATTGCAACGTTGCGGTTTAATTTGCAGTTTATGACTCATGGCCTTGTGAGTTGTAAATTGCACGAGGAAAGATTTTAGAACACGCAGACGTGAAATAAATCTAAAGAGAACGAGCACAATGCAGCGAACACTGTTTCTGTGTAATACAGAGAGTGGGAGTACGCTGTCGTTTATGTTCAGTGGAACCCCCCCCCCCTCCTTTTCTCTTCCTTTTCCCCTCCGGTTTGACACAAGCACACTTCCTCGTACTTGTGCTCGTGTCTGCTGTAATCTTGCAAAATCAGCTTCGCTGTGAGGCTTCGCATTCAGCCGTGCACGTGTCTGTTTGTGCATATTCGTCCCCTTAAACAAGTGTAGACTGACAGCTGACCTTATCAGCAGAAAGCAGCACCTAATTTGTGCAATGATAAGTCAGTGGAAAAAAAAAAATATGTGAACGCAGAAAACGGCCATCTTTTTGTCCTCCCTCGCTACATCCCCTTTTGGCTGTTTTTGTTATTATTTCCCTTTGCCTCTTCTTTTCATCCTCATTTTTGGGTCTGTCACGAGTAAACAGTCAGCATTAATTAAATTATCTCTGTCTGCGAAACAAAAAGAATAACAGGAATATCATTGCATCCTTTCTACTGGCTTCTAATGTCTCAATGCTCTCTGTCAGTGGACAGTCATGCAAAAAAGAGCAGATCTCATGTAAAGAGGAAAATATTTAGCCCATAATTAACAGAGTGTTACATCTGTGGGGAAAAACAACAACATTTTTTTGCATCTGAGAAGGTCAGAAAAAGTAATTTGGAACTTTTTATTACTTTTGTTCTCTTGCTGATTAATTATAAAACAGTGAATTGCAAATCTATCAAATCTCCTTGTTGTTTCTCACATGTTGTTGCGGTGCACTCACTTGTACTTGAGTCAAGTTGTACTTGATGGTGGACCTATAACAAAGTAATGCATAGTTGTGAAGTGGAAAAAAATACACTGTTTTCTTTCCGCCCAAATAACCATAAAAAAAAAGTGCAGCATGTTTGTATTCAGCCTCGTTTAGAAGGAGCCCGAATATTTTTGACTTGATTGCTGTCAGTATTCTACAAACTGGTAAAACTAACTGTGCATTTAATTCACATTGCCATAAATACAACTGTTCTCTGGAGGCTTTGGAGATTGTGAGAAGCTTAAAGCAAATATTTAGCTTCTTTTTTTAACAATTGAGGGCAAATAGTTATTTGATAGTGCTATATGATGAGGCTATATGGCTGGGGAATAATACTGCATCTTTAATTAAAAAAAAAAACAATGAGAAATTCTGTTTGTAGTTTGGTCATTGCAATTATTTGAATTTGTTTCAATTCGTCCTACTAAAGGTCAAAACTGGGGACCACAGCTGTAAGAATTCACCTAGAACATGGATGGAATAGTTCGATCAGAGCTTATTCGTGTGTTTGAATGGTCTAGTTAAAGTTTAGAACAAAATCCAGTTAAGAATCTGTTGTATGACTTACACATTTGAATACATAGAAGTTCTACCTAACCTGTACATAAGTTAAGATGCATAAAACATCTATTTTGTATCACGTCTCCATGTAGTTAGAGATTAATTTGATTCCTCAACTTTAATGCATTCATCCTTAATTTCAGCGTCTTTCTCATATTGTCCTGAATAAGTCGGCGATCTGTCACGGGCTCACATCGGACAAACTGTTTTCACGCAGAATCGAGTCAAACGAATAAACGAGAAAAGAAAAAAATGATATGAAGAGGAAGTGGGGAAAGGTCTCCCGTCATCCCATTCGCCTGTCTCTTTGACCTTTCTTCTCTCTCACAGCTTTCTGCTGCTCGGTGTCTGATCAGTGGCGCGGTGACAGGATCCCGATCCTCAGAGCTGCTTCTCCACTTCGAGTGCCAAGCCAAATGACCCGATAGCGCACTGGGAGAGCAGCACGAGCCGAGCCATCATATGCATGCACACACGACGGCACACACAAAGCCTGCAGCCTGTGAGGCCTCGGGATGCCTCTGCTGCTCCTTTGGGTCCGCTTGAGATGTCGTGTTTTTTAAGCAGCTGCTAACAGTCTGCTCCGGCCACTAACCCTGCCTGTTTTGGGCCAACACCTTACAGAGGAGCACTAACGATCTCTCTCCTTCTTTCTGTCTCGTTCGCTCTTCCATTCATCTCTCGTAGTTTTTTTTTTTCCCCCCACTGCCTTTATTGCTGTTTATCTATCTCATTTATACTGCACCCTCTCTCTCGGTTTACTACGTTTCCTTTTGATTGCATGTATTTATAATCCCGCCCGTCAGTACCTGCACCTGCTCATTATTTTTTGTTTGTGAACACGTGTTGCTTGTAATCGCGCGTGCCACTTTGTATTCGCGGCTGGGCATATCTGTGTTAACCCACTGTCCATTAACATTGTGTTTACTGCCTCTGTATCATTAAGAAGCACAGACAAGTGTCCTAGTAAAAGACTGGGACATAAACTGAAGTGATGCAGCTCCGGTCAGACTCACATTATTCTCTGTTCTATTTCCATGGCTGCCTGGAAGCCTAAAAGCCCTCATAAATTACACTGTTATTTGGGTCAAACCTCTGTTAGTAAGCACAGGCTTGATTTAGAGGCTCGGCTTCCACCCTTATTTTTGAATTTGTGCTGTGCCTGTTGTATGACCTGCACACCACACACGTGCACCGGCCGATGCCCGGTTTGCGGTAAAACAAACAATAAACATTTATTCACATCCCACTGAGTGCAGCATATAGACGCAGTCAAACAGAAGAGGCTTAAATGGGTTTTAATATTTGCAGATAGACCACAAGAGGGGTTGCACAGTCTTTCTAAAATACATCTTGTGTGGTCAAACATCAGCTATCGCAGCGTGTGCGCGCTCATTGCATGTGGTTCTTTTGTGCACGTCAGCAAGGACTTATGTTGCTAAAACAGCAGAGCTAAAGTCAGTAAGAATGGAAAACATGGGAACCTTTTTTTTTTTTTTTGCCTCTAACTTGTAAGCAAACAGATCAGCTGCGCTTTCTTTCCACGTCTCTCATGTTTAACCTTTATTTTCCTCAACTGAGTTCAATTAGTGTACAGAATTTACTAGTTACGAAGACCAAGATCAGATTAGTCTGATCTGAGTTCTTACTCTGTGAAGAACTGAGTAATTGGTTCTAAAAATTTAGGAACCTCAGAAGAAATTGAATATAAAACGTTGCACATATTGACGTAAATATACATTTATACCTGTATAAATGTATGCCTGTATATTTATATATTTACAGGTATATAAATGCTGATTGTGCTGAAACACAATCAGCAGCATGACCCACTCATGTATGTTTTTACCAAATACAAAAAAAAATAACAAAGAAACTGCAAAATTTCCTTAGGCCTCAGCCAGTCAATGTCAAGAAGCAACACCCACTGGTCAATGGCAGTCATTATGTGGGTGGCAGTTAAAACTGGAGGAGGAAGTGGCGTTACAGTGGATCAGTGGTGTTGGTGGGAATTTCACATTCCTCCTTTGACATTGGGTAGGTGGGTGTGGAGGATGATGTGATGATGGTTGACCAACTGAAATCCCTTTCAAGAACAATTTGTGCTTTTCCAGAGGCTCTTCAGATATCTCCTCAAATAATGATATGATGCGCTCTTGAAGAAACTACTTATCGTTAGGTACTTTCGAATACTTTTTCTTTACAGCATTTGTCTCCACGTGTCGTGTCCCTTAAAGTCTCGTGGCCATTAAAGTCCTGGGCCTTACAATAAATAGCACAATGTTAAGATGACTTATTTTTGGAAGCAACACTGTTCAAGGAAAACTTGTCTAGCTTACATGTTTTAAATACTTTTGCTGCCATTCAATATTTGTTGTAAGTAGATTGTAGAGAATGCATAGGTGTAAAAACAATTGCCTTTTTCATAATTTTATAGTTAATACTGGAAATGATTAAATATTGAAATGTAGCCAGGAGTTTCACACAAATTTGCAGTAAAGAAAAAAAAAAAACAATTGTTTCTACTAGTCTTTGAAAAAAAAAATACCCTGAGACAAAATCAAGTAAAAACTATAGTCAAAACCAAAACTTTGAAAAAGTGCTCACAAGATTGGTCATGAAACTAAGACTGGCCTTGATTATCACACATAACCGTGATCTAAACTTCTCCAGCACCGCTGCCTATTGTTTTTCTCGGTCTTTGTAGTTGTTCTCTAACCCAGTGGTTTTCAATCTCCAGACCCATTGACCTTCATGTTTAACTGCTACAGTACGCCTGAATCAAATGAATACATTACCTCCTCAGCATGCCATTAAGTGCTGCAGAGGCCTGGTAATCACCCATTTATTTAGGTCAGGTGTGTGCCCGCAGGGAAACATAAAAACATCCAGACCAGTGGATCGTGAGGACTAGGACTGAAAATTAATGACACAACCCAACTCTTAAAGTCTTCACAAAACAGCTGTTTAACAACTGAGATTAAATAACACTCAGGTGGACTAATTGACAATTAGATGAATCCTGAAAACTTTGATTTCACTTTCAGATTAAATGCGAGTAAAATGTATGCCACACTTTTCAGGTTTTTATTTAGCAAATTGTCAAAAACTAAGCACCGTTTTTTTTTTATATTCACAATTATTTTTTAACTCACAGGGAAGTTTGTGCTTGTAATTTAACAAATTCTTGATTAGATAAAATTTGTTTTCTTTTGCGAGGCACTGTGAACAGCTGAATTTGTAAATGAGGGCAGAGAACTTCAAAAGCAGACGGATTTGCACTGGGCAAAAAACAGCACTCTGTTTTTGAGGAATTTAGATTATATATATGTATAGAAGGAAATGAAATTATGATATGCTTATCCTCCAGTAGGAATCAGAACAGTTGTCATGAATATCCTCTTAGCTTTTCATTGATTTAGGCTACAGACACATTCTGAATAATACCACTGATGTCCTTATGTTGAGGCATTTCTAATCCTAACCAAAAGTGGCTGATTTTCTAACTGCGAAGGTTCTACTTGCACTCACAATTGCAAATGTTACACAGCAGAAAATGTTACACCACTTCTGGTGTAGCATATTTGTTCAGTTCAAACTGTGAACAGAAAGCACAGCAGTTATGGTAGCTGCTCCTAATATCTGCTATAAGCCGTTTTCTCAGCAATGGCGGACTTTTTCATCGGACAGTCAACCGCTGAACACAATAATCAGAGAGCGGCACAATAGTAAACACACATACTCACTACTGACGTCACTGTACATCTACTCCAAGTAACTTTCATTAACTGAACTCAAAATACATATATTTAGAAAATATTAAAGCCGACCAACTGAGCCAACACGAGCGCGAGCCATTAGCATCATTACTTTAGCCTGGTGCTAACTCCGGCTTCACATTAAGCTCAGCTGTTCAGTTCTGTTGAAGCACCTTTTTCTGCCAGACGGTACATATCAGAGGCTACTAGCGTTATAATCTTTATGTATTATTTATGACTCAGCTTATCTGTGAACAGAAAGCACAGCGGTTCTAGTAGGTGCTTCTAATATCTGCTGTAAGCTGTTTTCTCAGCAATGGCGGACTTCTTCAGCCTGCCAGAGCGTCAACCGCTGTTACATACGGCGCTGAGCGCCCTCTGATGGCGAAATTCATACATTGCTAGGTATAATAAATTCTAAGTTTCTCAGTAACCTTTAGCATAAAAATAAAATGGGGAGGCTACTATTTTCATGCCTTGTTCTCTTTCATAATGCCACACAAAGGAAGAAATGGAAGAACCGAAAAACCTTTGCAGTCTGTATATTAGGGCAATATAAAACAAGTAGCACCCAAGCTTCTTAAAGGCATCATTCCAGCGGGAATTGGATTCCTCAAAGATGACTGGAATCTCCTCTTTCTGCCTTTATTTAGTTAGCATTTTTAACACATTTTTAACAGAGAGTTTGGATATTGGTTTCTGCTGCAAATACAATTCCTGTATTTTTCCTATTTGTTTTTAATATTTTCACAAATGTACGGGTGTAATCCGAGACGGGAGCATTGGGAAGCCATCAGCAGTTTAACCGCGTTCTACTGCTGGAGAGCGCATGAATATGGCGTCTTTACTTCTCAATCTCTGCAAATGAGAAACAAAAGATGTTAAGATGACTGAAACAGGAACAAAAATATGAAACAGTCAAGCTGCAGCTTGTTTTTATTGCATATACAACTGAGAAAAGATAAGCCAAACAAACGAAAAATTGCAAAATAATGTAATACATGCTGCAGTTCTAAACCTCACCATTGTACTTGGCATCTTTTGAGACATCTTTAAAGCTCTTAACAGAATCCTGAGCTTTGGCAGTTTTCTTTCTGAATCCTCAGAATAATATTAAACAACCATATGTTAGAAAAACATGACATCATTCTGACCCTATGTTCCTCACATTTGAGTCTATTTACTAATAAGGTGATTTCAGAAGGAAACTGCTTGTACTTGTTCATCATTAATGTAGTTTTTGGCATTGGAACTGAAAAACACTTCAATTTTTTTTATTATTAATTAACCTGCAGGAAACAGGTTAATTAATGGATAAAGGTGGTTTCTCTGGAAATAAAGCTCTACCTTCTAAAAAAAAAACAGTTTTTCTGATAACACTAAGCAGTCCGAGGACACGGCTGCAGCCTGAGCTGTGAGAAATCTGTGCTTCCTTTGACAAGCTGATGGGAAGTCCCATGTTTACGTAACTGGTGAATAGTAAAAGCATTGCACTTTATCTTTCCTTCACTCTCTAGTACTATCCAGGGAGTCTCATTTTCTCTGCTTGGCCTTTGCATAAATAATAATAATCAATTCGATTTTGATTCGTTCCTGATTGACTCAGTGGTTCCCCATAAATAGGATTTATTCATCTCCATAACATCAGTTAATTGCTTTCTCAAACCTAATTGATATTGGTCGGGATTGAGAGAATATTCAAGCTGTTGGTTGAATTAAAATGTGTTGCCCTGAATGAGACATCGTAATTAAGGCTGTATAAAAAAATCTTTATATTAAAACTATTTTTTTTTCAATTATGCAAATCAAGAAAAATAGTTTTAATTTCCAATAATTAAAAATTTCCCTGTGTATTTTATTTTATGCAACCTTCTACACTTGAGACACAGAAATCCTCTTCTCTGCCAATCTTCTATCAAGTTTCAAACTCTGCTCTCTCAAGATTTCTGTTTTTGTTTTTTTTACTTTATCTTTGACTTTTAACTATTCACGACTCCACTAATCTCAACCAATCTGCTATCGATTTGACACTAAAACAAATGCCAGAAATTTTTTCCACACACAATCAGACCCAGGTGTATCATCTCTGAGGCTATTTGAACATTCTTCACCACTGTCTGACTTTTCTGCCCCAACAAAGAAGAACAAAAAAAAAAAAAAAAAATCGCATGAATCAAATCTCAACCCTGTCAGCATCCATTTTCCCGTTCCACCGCATCCTCAAGAGGACACACAGCGACCGCGATTCAGACATGCACCCGGGGTGGCGTCTCATTCCTGCGGCTGATGAGAGCCGGCATGATGGGAGTGAGGCATATAATGTGATTTATGGAGCTCGGCTCACTTTTCAAATTCAATCAGGAACTTTGATTACTGATGAAAATTTGAGACAGGAAATCGCTTTGATAGCAAACGAAAACCTCATGAGACACAAGAGTACTAATGTGTGCAAGTGTGCACAGGCAAACAAACACTGAGCCCATCTGAACCTGACCAAATCTGATTAGGGGGAACACGCGCAATGTAATCATAATCGACAAAGCAGGAAATCCTGAAAATCTAGCCAATAACTGATGAATCCTCTCGTCTGCTTCAGATCGGGGTGTCGGTAGACACAAAGCCAAACTGAGACACGATATCTGAATATAAATCAAGTCCAAACTGATGTTTCCGTTTTTGTATATAAATACATAAACCATGCCTCCATCAGCTCTGATGAACTTTTCTGTCCCCGTTGAGGAAAAACATCCCCACACCATGACACCGCCACCACCGTCTGATACTTGGTAGTCGATGTGAAGTTTTCTGCCACACACAGTATCTTGTAGTTTGCCACGTGGGACACATCTTTTCCTGTTTTAATCGTTTGGTCAGCTTGCACTCATTGAGAAAAAGAATGCTTCCTTTGTACATTCTTTTTTTCTTCCGTCCAAGAGATTTCAGCAACAGCAGGCCAACCCGTGCGTCTTTCTGCCCAACCCAAACCCTCGGCGAGTATCGGAGGAAATGAAAAATGCGAGAAAAATGATACAAGCCGATTCACTGATGCCTGTGCACCAGCAAAGTAGTTTTCAGATAAAATATATGGTTTTCACATTTCTGCGTTGGTGAAATGTAAATAAAAGATGCCATGTTTGTGAATGAACTGCTGTAGGGCTGCTTGCACACCGTTACTACCGCGTGAAGCATACAACTGCGATGAGTGAGAGTGAAAATAAACAGTGAAAGATTTGAGACTCGTCAGTCCACAGCAATTTAGTTAATAAAGATGAACCCATTATGTGACATTTGAGTTAAATTTGGTACCGGACAAAGGCACAGCTTTGCATGTAGTATTCTGAAGTGACATAAGGTTCTCTAGCTTTATTATTATTATTTTACTTAAAAAACAACAACATTTCTAACCACTGTTAAGATTCATTGCTGTCATTACTGGTATTTGTTTAACAGTGAGACTGTTAATGTCTTATTTAAAGGCAGTTATTAACCCTTTGGCATGTGATGACACTTGTCTTCAGAAAGTGTCCCACTCTGTCACGGTGGACGTCGAAACGACTTATGCGTGCATTAACTCCTGTAAAGCTAAAAGCAGACAGTCGGTAGCCTGATACTGCTTTTGTTTAATTGATTTCACTGTGAAAAGGGTCAAAGGGTGCTGTGCGGTCGGGAGCACAAACAGACTTCTGGCTTTGTTAACGATGTGGTCCAAACATAAAATATGACTGCACAAGAAAGAAATTAGCAGCAGGCATTAACACGTAGAAAAAGAAACAAAATGTATCTTTTGCAAAAGAGAAATCCTATTCAGAGGTTTTTTTTTAATCAAACTGGCTCCTGATTGACAAATCTTCTGCAAAAACAAGCCAATCTTTGCACTTAAATTTTTTTAGCTTTTACATTTTCTTGTATATATTTTTTTTAAAGAGCATCTTTGCACACTTTCAGTTTAGGAAATAAAATGTTCTGTTGAAAACATATCTGTAATTCAACTGGCTCGCAGACGATGCATTCTGGCCCAGTAAATTGGAGCTGGTGATGGGTGTGATTCAGATCCTGCTTCGCGCGATAGTTTCAGAAACCCAAGCATCACAAGCACACCGACGCAACCATCACACGTATGTGCCCGACTCTTTGACAGAAGTTCTGGCTGATCTATGGCTGTTTGGTCCCTTGTGTTATTATAATGACTGCACATGAGGGGGACACTCAAAAATACACCTGACAGCATGACAGAGGGGCCCAATTACCTTTCCCCAGAGAAGAGTGCGTGTCACACACACGGAGAAAGAGCAGAGCGGAGGAACAGATAGAAAAGTGAAGGTAGAAAATGAGAGGCGCGCTGCTTGTGCATGTATTGCGGCAGAAACACGACAGGCTCATCAGTCACCAATGGCCTTTTAAAGCGTTTTCTGTGGGGACATCTGACCTTTTCACTTGATGTCAATAGCAGCTGCATGATGAATCAATCGCCTAAGCCTGTGGCTCCTGGAAGCCCCTGTTATCCAAAGTAAACATGTGAGATGACATTCGGCTTGTTGAGGCACCCGCAGACAAAAGCCGGAGGTAATGGATCGGCTTTTAATGGAGAAACGGACCGAAGCGGTGCCGGCGAGGAGACCGAACCACGCCGTAATCCCCGTGGAGGAAAACCTTTGGACGTATGGCTCAATGTAAAGAGCTACAACTGCATATCGAGCATAAAGCGAGGCAAATGAGATAATGACGTAGTCAAGGTCAGAGAAGACTCTGCAACCTTACTGTCTGTCTGCACAGGATGGATAGGAAAAGGGAGGAAAAAATGGAACAGAACGAGGCCAGGGGAAAGATAAAGAGGAGGGCAAGGGGATGAGATAGATACTGCGGAAATGGAGAACAGCAGGGCCTGGATTTTTTTGGATGCCGAGCTGTGTGTGTGCGTGTGTGTGTGTGTGTGTGCGTTTGCCGAGGAGCCTAGGAGTGAGCAATAGGGGAATATGAAGCCTAATATGATGGGCTAAATGAGGTGGAATGGAGGTAACATAGAGTGACAGCAACTGAGCCAGTGCATTAATGGGTTAACCAAGGCCAGGAGTCAATGACCTCCCTCCTCCCCGGAGACCGAATTATCTTTCAGTATAAAACACACACACTATACACACACTGATAATGAAGATGTGGTTGCCAGACCACTATATTTTATCAATCGAGCAAGGATGATTGATATTTTATCAATCATCCTTGCTAAAGCTATTGATCAGGAAAACCCGAAGGAAGGACTGAACAATTCTGAAGTAGTCATTGTTTTAATGAACAGATGCACTTAAGGGTTAAGCACAACCCACAATAAGGAGGCCTCAGTCCTCATCGCAGATTCGATTCCCGGCCTAGTGATCTTCGGTGCATGTTTTCTCTCTCTCTCATTACCCTACTTTCCTGTCATAGCACTTTCAAATAAAGGCCATTAAAGCAAAAAAATAAAAAAAAGGAATCCTTGAGAAGCACAACAAGCTTAAGGTGTTTTCCAGAGATGCAATGATTTGAAAAAAATAAAAAATAAAAAAAAAAATCAAGATTATCAGTGCCAATGTTCCCAATCTGTAAGGGCAGATCTATCCACTCTAGTTCTATGCTCTGTGGGCTGAGTGACATCATGCTTTATTCATTTTACATCACATTTAGAATTCCTTATTGCACCTTCTGATCCATTTGAAAGGTTTGTTGCAGTTTCTGTCTATTTCTTACATGTTTGACCAAGCTTGTGAAGCTAATGGTGTATTTAAGTGTGCTGTGCTGGTGCACAGTTATCAAATGAAGTTGTAATTAAGTACCTTTCTATCTGTATTAAAAAAAAATAAACATTTAAGTCAACTCAGCACTGTTTTTCTCTATTGATCAATGGTAAATCTCAGATATCTTTCCTGATATCAATCCAGACAAGTCAGATAAACGGAGGCCTCATAGTTGCATCTTATAGGTCTGAAAGGATCTGCTGCTAATATCTTGGTGCCAGAAGTTTTATAGCCCAGTGTAGTTTATACCCAGACGAGTCCCCGACTGTTACGGCGGAAAAAGTAGAATGAACACCTATTAAAGCTGCAGTCATAATGATGTAGAAACTCGAACCTTTGTGTAGGAGATTGCAGATACTCAATGGAAAAAAAAAAATAGAAATGTTCTCCAAGAGCTCTTATGTCCCTCTCATATTAAGAGACATTTGAGTTTTATATCACTATGACATTTAAATTACCGTCTGCATTGATGGCTGTTCTGAGTAAGGGTTTCTAAGAGAGACAGAAAAAAAAATAGATGAGCAGAGAATGTGTAAAAAGAAAAAGACAGTGCAGGCTGCAGGTGAGAAATTAGAAATATTAGCATATTTATTACAGCAACATGAAGACACAAAAATGCCTACACTCTTTACAACAAGCAATGCAGAGCAAATTGGCATAGGAACAAATAACCTTTATTGGTGGGCAACAAAAGAGAGAAGAGAGATGGCCAAGGGAGGAGAGAGAGAGAGAGAGAGAGAGATTCGACTGAAAACATCAACTGAGAATCTGATGAACATTTAATGTACGTACCAGGTGAGAAACAGAAACAAACACAGCATTTCAGATCAAGAGAACCAGCCCACATAGCTTAAATTGGCAAGGTGTGGATTGACAGTGGTGTGGGATTTAAGAAATGGAGGTGGGTATGGAAGTGCTGAATAAGAATACAAAAAGCACACTAATGATTTCCTTTATTTTTTGAGGCATTAATTGAAGACGCAATCCTTGCGGAGTTTTCCCATTTTAAAACAATTATGTAATGAAAACTTTTTTTTAAAAGTCAGCCAATTATTTGAGATATGAAAAGAAAACCCACTTCCTACTTCTTTCGTTTGCTTTTCGGGTTGAAGATTCTCAAACATTATTTTAGAAAACGACTGCTGGGGTGGCTATGTGGAGGTTTCTGCGATGTTACACGAGAAGGGTGCTGATGTGAGGTCGCCTTAAGTAATGCAAATAAATACAACCTGTATATACACTTTACTCTTAATATCACCTCTATATGACCATGGAAAGTATATAACTCAGTAAATAAGGCATCTAAAAGGCCAGCAGTCCCAGATAGGCCGCTAGAGTGTAATTATAGAGTTAGGAAGAGTAGAACGAACAGTTTTACTTGATCCCACTTTGACTTGTGTTGTAAAAGAGATGTGAAAATTGTTTGAAAGGACAGAAAAGTAAATGGAAAATTAGTTTATGTTTTTTTATTGTTGGAAATTTTTATGAGCAGAAAACTTCACTGCCCTTGAATCCTGGGATACAGCTGATGATGCACCTTATAATTTCCATCATAAGGAAGACTTTAATTTCAAACTAACAAGCCAAACTTACTTGAAATGTGATTAAAAAAAAAAAAATAAGTTAACATTAACTTGGAAACCTGCATATGATTTTATTTTGTTAATTGTTCTGGTTTCAATATAATCAATAAAGTTACAACTCCTATAATATTTTAGCGATTAATATACTTTTAATACTTGACGTAGCATACTGTTGTGCAATTAGCAGAATTCTAATAATTAGTCAAATTGTAGAGAAACAAACATGTTCTTCTGTGCTATTTTCTCAAAAATAAGATTGGATTTTCTACTCTTTATATATTTTGAGTTTGTTTACGAGGCTTTTCTATGCTTTAAATGTAAAGTCGCATTACCCGCCGTATGCGGGGAGCTTCAGCAATAAATTTAATTAGAAGTTTTCTTTTTTCCTTTTTAATCACCATGCGCTTTCAAAAAGTGGCGTTTCGTGCCGTAAACTGGATGGAAAACAGGAAATGCGTAAAGTTTAAAGTGGATATGCAAATAAAACAAGCTCGAAAGTCCATTCTACTCATCCTAACGCCGTCATAAAAACTGCAGGCGCCGTCTCCCGTCTTTCAAAGCCGACGCTTCTCTCCTTTGCTACATTCCGTGTTCAATCTGATGGTTCGCCTCATCCTTCACTTTCCACCTGTACGAGCCGCCCCCTGAACGTAAACCTCGAAATCTCTTTTTCATATTAAAAGCACATCAAAGTCGTCGTCATTGTTGTCATTACAAACATTCTAATATTGGAAATTAACGCTGTACATATTTTACACTATGGTACAATCAAATACTATACTTCATGTCACTGTTGGTCCTATGGATCACCACATGTATTAAAACCGAGTTTGGGGGAAACATTAAATCCAGGCTCAGTGCTATTAACGCAACGAACATGAAAAGGGTCCCTTTGAGTCTAATTGCGTAATTAATGTCATGAGCGAAAATATCAACAGACGTGTTGGCTTATTCTTGTAAACATTGTACTGTAAATTTGTAAGCAGTGGGTAGTGACTGAAAATAAGGATGATATAAACAACAAATAAGAAAATACACATCAGACAAAAAAAAAAGTTTTTTCTTTTTTTTTAATGCAATATTTACCCTCTTGTGGAGGCACGTCTGAAATCCAACACTTCACCTCGTCAATAAAGGGACGATTCTATCAAGCGATGACGCCGGAAAACACAACTCTGTAATCGTGGTGAGAGTGCTGCGTGGCCGTAAGGACAGAGGAAATGAAAGTGCACAGCTAGAATTAAGGTATGTCGTCGAGATTAACTTTTTTTTTCATATTTCTGTACATGGCACAAACCCGTAAAATCAAGTTAGACGTCCTCAACAGTGTCACTGGCTTTGCATCGCCTTTGCTCCGCACAAAACACTACGACCGTCTAAACACACCTGAAACAATGGAAGGCTTCATCTTAAGATGAGTTATTCCTTTAAAGTATGTTGTAAAACAAATATACTTTGCGCGCCTTTCAAAAGGACTCGGACCCTTTGATTTTTTTTTTTTCCTTCACATTTTGCCACATTGCAACCACAAACTGTAATTATCTTCATTGGGATCGGCACAAAGTGTAAAAGAAAAAGAATTATGGTTTCCAATTTTTATTTTCACAAATAGACTATGAAAAGTATTGTGGGCAATTGTATGCAGCCTGCTTTATATTCTGGCAGCTCAAAGTAAAATCCAGTTCATGTCTGTGCAACGTATTCTCGGTATGAATCAAGTCCGAGAACAAAAAGCCTAATGAAGACAAATACATAAGAGATATTTGGAGAAAAAGTTGTTGAGAAAGCAGAATAGGCTTATGATGCCTCCGGAGTACCTGAAGAGATCCACAACTCATGGAAGAATATCTGCAGGACAACTACAAGTCGTTCACAAATCTGGCATTTATGAAAGAGAGGAAGAAGAAAGCTGAAAGAAGTCAAGTTTTCAGTCGAGTACAGGAAACGGCAGAAGTGGAAGAGGGTGCGCACGAAAGATGAGACCAAAGTTTTGCTTTTTAGCCTTGGTGCGGTGGATCAATCTCAACGCCGCTAATCAACCTGAACACTGCATTTTCCACTTTATGTCCAATTTATTTTGAGACCAAATAGGGAACGCCTTCATGTGTACAAGTGAAAGACAGAACGGGACCTACTGGATGTGAGTCACAGCTACAATTTTAGCAAGAGTTGATTCCACCGAGTACACACTCGGTGGGGCTGAACACAAATCCAAACAAAACTTTTCATGTTTTGTTTTGAAAAAAAAAAGTAAAAACCTTGTATTCTTTTCCTTACACTTAACTGTTATGCATAAGTTTGCAAAAAAAATAAAAAATCCCAACGCAAGACACTACACTATGCTTAATGTGAAAAAATCTGAGGTACGGATCCTTTTCACGAGGCTCTGTAAACTATGTTTATTTTGTCAAAGATACTGGAAGAGTAACATTTCGTCATGTTCTGTTATTTCTTTGCAATCTGTAACACCGCACAGCAAGTGCACGCAAACAGGCGTACGTATATTAGATCTACTTTCTATGGAAGTTTGTCTGAGAGCGGTCTCTAAGGAAGCCCTTTTCCCGGCCAAATAAACTTATTAAAAACATACTTCCGTCCTACACACGAAATCTACATCCCCCTTATATGTCTACAGGTCCATTTATTTATCTCCTCACTCCCTTCACATTCATGTCATCCATAATCTCTTAGCTTTCTTTGAGCAGACACCAGTGGAAGAGTTCATACATTTACAACAACTGCTGTTAGCGCTGTGCAACCACAGATACAAACGTTAGGTCCATCTCTACGCTCGTGGCATACGCCGCCCATATAAACATATATCTACACATGTACACCGTCTTATGACCCCTTTTTGAAAACCTTCGTTATGAAAATGTAAAACAAACAAAATGACGGTAAAACCAACTGTACACCTGACAAACAGTGACGAGCATTATATTCAGTTTTTTTAGTCATTATGTTAAATTTTTTTTATTTTTTTGCTTTTTCTTCATTTATGTTTACATGATGTGAAATGGTCTCTGCGTGCGGCTTTGTTGGTCTCTGTGCTGCCCTGACATGGTGAGCGGTGTTGGCCAAAGGGCACGTCCAGGACGGGAATTATGGGAGGGTGAAGGAGTCAAGCGTCAATGTTGTCTCCATCTTAGTGTGCCACAAAAAAAAATAAAAAATAAAAAATAAATCATTGGAGACCCAAGCACAAAGTATCCATTACAGCTCCATTTGAGTGGCGTGGGGGGAGACTCTCCACAGGAGCGTCCAGTTCAACTCTGTCTCTTTGTGGAAACTGTTATACTTGGACGTGTGTCCCCTGGGCTTGCAGGCTCTGCACGCTGGACAAAATCTTCTTCTGGTGGCCGGCCAGCGTCACTCCCATCTTCGCCAGTTCACTAGACGGAAGATTTAGGAAGACAAGCAAAGATATTATAATGCTGCAAATTGTAAATACACTGTTATGATCGTTACATTGGACATCCTCCACAAAAACACTGGAAACATTGAGGCCCAGCATGAGAGGTGCTCATTTGAGCAGGATAAGGCCCCTTGTGTCTGTACCTGACGCTGATGTAGAGGATGGAGTCCAAGCTGACGTATCCGGCGCTGGAAAAGTTCTCCTTGTACTGGCCCATCTTGATGGTGTCCAACCAATCGTCCACAGTGCTCACGCTGAACTCTGGGGTGGGCGGGTCCTCCCTGCTGAAATGGAAAGCACACTTCAATCCAATGGTAGTCGATGCAGCTCAGAATTCATGCCAAGAAAAAAATATATATATATGCAAGTCAAGTTAATAAAACACCCACATTTCAATTTTTCAGAAAAAAAATTATAATCATAACAAATAAAAGCAAACTTTTAGGATAGAAATGGGATGTTATAGCCTGTAGAATCATGTCACTTCTGACTTGAAAGCTGTGTAGCAGAGTCACTGATGCTCTCCACAACAAGGACGTTTATCGCTAAAGAATATCCAAGTTTATCATTAGAAAGTTTAGTGGAAGGAAAATGTTTTGTGGAAAACGATGAAACGTGGAGTAGTACAGAGTAAAAGTTGCCCTTTGTCCATTGTGAAGATTTCAGAAGAGCAAAAAAAAAAAAAAAAAAAAAGGCTTGCAGTATGATGTGTTATGTTGCCTTGGTTTGAGGCGTTTGTGTCTGCACCCTGTCATTTTTTTTTTATGATGTGTGTGTTTTTATTCCAAAACCAGATTTAAGAAATGAAGATGTATCTGCATTTAAACAGAGACATACATTGTTTTGATTCTAATGTATCTGTGCTCTCTGTGAAAAACAAAACAAAAAAATACAAATACATTTCCGTTAATGGACGAATATGATTGCAGTCTTTTGCCCCTTGGAAAGGCTTCTGAGTTTTCCATTTATTATGAAATGCTATAAACTATCTTAGCATTCATTCATTTCCCTGAATCCTTAAAAAAACACGTATGGAGTGCACGCATGAGCACATCAACAGAGATGTACACCCATGGTAAAAACAAACAACAAAAAACATGTATATAAGTGTAGAAAAGTAAATTAATGGGTTTTATGTATTTTGGAGGCATTCTGGATTTTTTTGGGGAAAAACCTTTTTGTCTGGCTTTGTTTAATATTTAATGACATGCAGAAATCTGTGGTTTTAAGCTTGAGGTTCGATTTATGTGATTTTAAAACGCAGCAAAGACCGGAACATAAACAGCAAAAGTTTTTAAATTAGAGTTAGTATTTATTTTTTTTTTTTCACCACATCTGCCCTGAATTACTTCCATCGATGTTAATGTAAGACGTGTTTCTGGTCCTGTGGTTTATTCAGCCTCTTCTAGACTCTCTGGGGGTTTAACTGAAGTAATTTTGAGCTTCTGCCGTCTGTTGGTTTGTGTTGAGCCTTGTTTTTTTTTTCTTTTCCCTCCACTTTCTGTTTAGAGCATTTGTCTCTGGAAAAAAAAAAAAATCATTGTATGCTGCACTGATTCTGAACATCAACTAAGCGCCTGAGGTGTAAAATGTAAATGTAAAAATAATGATATTCTCTGGGTGCGGGCAATTCAGCTGGGGATTCAGAAACTCTAAATTGAACAAGGAGAGGGAAGCTACACCAGCTCCCCCAAACTTATATTCTTTCATTTTCTACTTTCAGAACTAGTTATTATGTTGGAAAACAGCTTTAAAGAATAGAATATATTTGAAAAATAACATTTCCGGCTTACGGATTTCAAAAGCAGTCTCATTTTTTTTTTTTACCACCCGTTAAACCTTCAGACTGTCCCTATACTCTCATCCGACTGTACGTCGGTGAAATCCTTTGTTTCCACTGACCACACTGAGCTGTTGGCCAGCTCTCTGAGGCTGGCTGGGTTTCTGATGAGCTTGTCCAGGATTGTGACAATCTGTCCAAACTTTGGCCGATCACTGCGCCCCTTCTCCCAGCAGTCCAACATGAGCTGGTGCAACACCACCGGGCAGTCCATAGGAGCAGGAAGACGATAACCCTCATCTATTGCTTTGATCACCTTCGCAGGGAGAGAAATGCAAAAAAAAAAAAAAAAATCTATCGATCTGGTATTGCTTGAGATTAGCAATCTTTTTTATTTTTTTATTGTTTAGAAATGTCTGAAAAAGTGTCTGCAGGTTTGGGACTCACATCCTGGTTGGACATCTCCCAGTACGGTCTCTCTCCGTACGAAATCACCTCCCACATGACAATGCCGTAGCTCCACACGTCGCTGGCTGAGGTGAACTTCCTGTAGGCGATGGCTTCCGGTGCCGTCCATCTGATGGGGATTTTCCCTCCCTGCAAACACACCGCATAGACAATGTGCTTTCGCTGAAATTGTCTGACGAAAGAGAGTCTCAATGCTTTTTTCCGTTTTGTTCCGATTAGTCGGAATTTGACATGAAGCTGCGAACATGTCAGCATTAAATGGATGGCATGTTGTTGCCCTCTGAGTGGAGGTACAGTCAGTACACAGATTCGTGAAACAGTTCAGTCCTGTGCTGTAGTGAAGTGCAGTTGAATCTGAAGAAGCTCTAATAAGCTGTCTACAGCTAAAATGATAACATTTTGAAATACTGACTAGTTTGCACATTACCTAAAAAGATCCTGGGAAATTTAGTTTGTAAGAATGTATTCTTTTTTTTTATTGTATTCACAAGTACAACACATTACACAAAGTATTCATACTCCCCCCTCCCCTTTTAAAAAAAAAACAAAAAAAAACAAAACAGACTTTAATGTATTTTGAGATTTTAAGGTGATGCAGAAGGAAAAAAAAAGGACAATAATAAATAGCTTACATTTTTTTTGTCAAATTTGAAAAGTGTGGCTTGTCTTTGAAATTAAACCCGCTATGTCAAAACTTTACACCGTTCACATTTTCGCTTCCTTTTCAGCTCCCATCATTCTTTCTTCCTGGATGGAGAGGGTCTGTAAACGGAAACTTTACAGTCTTGTAAGAGAGTCTTGAACTGGATTTCGGTCTTAGAGCCACTCCAGAATCTGAATATTTTTTAATTTACACTTTTCCACTGTAACTCTGGCTTTGCGCTTGTGACCATGTCCTGCAGGACGGTGGACGTCCAACGCCATTCTCTAATCATTCACTGTTATTTCGGTGTATTTAAGTGAAGTGAAACTTTTCAGATTTTTATTTGCAGACAGTTTTTAAATGAATGTATAATTTTCCTTCCACTTCACAAATAATGTATAATTATTACTCTGAATAATCTTCAGATAAAACCCCATAAAATCCATTATTGCTTGTGTTTGCAAGGTGACAAATTGGAAAAAGATCAAGGCAATATAAATGCACAGGTGATTTAAAGGGAAACACGTGATAGGAAAATGTTTGAAATGTCGTAATAAGTGGCATTAACCAAATATCTGTCTCATTTTTTTTAGCTCCATCGTCTCATCAGCTTTGACCATTTTCCCCGTCTCTGCTTACGAGCTGCATCATGCTGCCACCACCAAGTTTTACAACGGAAATGACTATAGACCCCAAATCCTAATTTTATTCACATCTGACCAGACTACACTGTACTTGTATGGTGTCTCATTTGTGGGTCCATGCAAACTTTAAATGGCATTTCTTGTCTTGTACCCATTTCTAAATTTGTCTAAGAATCCAAATAACAAGTGAGTGTAATATCCCTAACACTGTCAGTGTTACAAAGAAAACTGCGCAGAAATTTATATGACAGCCACACAACAGTTTCCTGGGTAAGTTGGGATGTTTTAAAATGTAAAGCATCTTCCATGTTTAGAATTGGAAAAAATAAAAAAAATAAAACAATGCTCCACTATTAGTAGTCTTCTGGCTGTTCCGAGTGTGGAGAAACGCTAACCCTCAGTTCTTACAGTCTGCTCTCATTTAATGAGAGAGGTGGCGGGATAAAGAGTGTGTGTATCAGGTTTTTTGGGATGAATTCCCTGAGCTCCCCCTGCCTTTGTTGTTGACACGCAGATCAAAAGGATTCCATACAGCCCCCTGTATGTATAGGCGCCCCCACCCTCCCCGGTTCACTGACGCACGGAGGCGTCGCACCTCTATAGGCTCATCTCGGCTTTTTAACATGCGGAAGATGCCTCTGCACCACCTAGCATTCCCCACCTCTGCTCGGTGAAAGTCAAATGAAAGACAAAGCTGCCAAGTTGCTCAGCACTGTACTTTAGTTTCCCCCACGCCCCCCCCCCCCCCTTTTTCCCCCCCCCCCCCCCCCCATCTTTTTTTTTTTTTTTTTTTTTTTTTTTTTCTT